TATATATATAAATAATTTTCAGTGTTTATTACCCTGCTATTTTTTTCTCATTAAACAATTGTTTGGTCTATAGAATGACAGACATGGTATTTGTTTTAGATGTATCTGTAACTATAGTTTAACTGCAAATTTGCCAGAGTTACAAAGATAATCAGCAAACGCTCACATTTCAGGCAAAACAGACTCAAGACAATAAATTGCTGTCAGAGAGTTCAAAGTAGTTGCAGTTTATGTAATTTTTCTGCAGTTTTACTGCTTATTAATTAATGGAATAAGTATTACAGCTGGGAGCTCTTCCCATTTTAACATCTGTACACAGCTGGCCAACTGCTGTGCAAAGCAACATTACTGTGAGATTGTGCACAAACCGCCGCTGCACTGATGCGTTTCAGTGCTTGACATACAGAGTCCTTGTGATTAATGTGTGCTACCTGTGCGGTTTCCAGGTGAGCTGCGCTCCTCCCCTGAAATACGAGGAGCTCTGGGACCACGGCTCTGCTTCAATACCTTGATGGTAGTGGGTGTGGTCACCTGAGCTGGGATTATCTGTACAGCTGGAGACAGACAGGAAAGTTAGAGGCAGATGTTGTTTCATTGATCAGAATGATTGGATATTATAATCTCTCATTTGTTGTTAAATATATAAAGTTTGTCCGCTATAATATAAGTTGAGCTATTCCCATCTACAAGAAAAAGACAATTTCTCACTTCTCACTGTTTTTCTAATCACCTTGTTTCCTTGCAGGTGAGTAAAAATGTTCACTGTGTCATGTTTCAACAGGCAAGATAACCTAAGCAACTCACGACTAACCAAGTCCGATCCTGTCTATAAAGAATACCAAGTGTAAACAATCTAGTTGTATGGTTTTGGCCACTGAGGACAAAACTGGTCTGCATTTTAACTAATATGCTCAACTAAATACAGGAATGCTGTGCTTCAAAATGCGTAACAGTTGCTTGTCTTCACCGTGATGTGTGTTGTATTTTTAAGAGCACCTTAACATATTTGAAATCAATGTTAAGTATGTCATTACTCACACTAAGCCCCTTCTTTTGTCTCGGCATAAGCAGGACCTTTTATTATCTTTTGGCAGATTTTTCCTTTGAATACTTACGTTGATCAATAGTAACAGTGGCGTCCCCTCCGGATTGATCCTGGCTGGCCAGCACATCTTTAATATATACAAGGGATACATTAAATTCTCAAATTTAACTCTCTGTACAAATAAGATGCAACTTTAGTGTTCAGTTTACCTCTTCTGACCTGTAAAAACAATCCATCAGCCATAGAGACACTCCTACAAGCTATAACAACTCTGTCTGACTTACATTTACGTAGGAGTTCCAGATGACTCCAGAGTATTTCTCCACTGGGCACTTTCTGAAGGAACTCTTCCTGGCTGTAAGAACAGAGGTCTCGGCCTGGGATGTGAATGTTGCCTATTTCCATCTCATCAATGTTAAACTCCTTCATCACCCACACAGCCCAGTGGATCACCTGGTCAGCTGTCCAGAGCATGGGGTCTGAGGCGAGACAAAGAAATAGTAACAACCACACCACATCACTGGCCAAGAAAGCTCAAACAAGCCTCTACTTCCTCTGCAAACTGAGGAGAGCCAGTGTCCCACCCCCTATCATGCGCTCCTTCTACCGGGGCACCATTGAGAGCGTCATCACTGGCTGCATCACTGTGTGGTACAGAGCCTGTACTGCCTCCTGCAGAAGGACCCTGCAACGCATAGTGAAAACAGCCAGCAAGATAATCGGTGTCCCTCTGCCTTCCCTTACAGACATCTTCAACAACTGCCTCACCCACAGAGCCATCAGCATTGCTGATGACACCTCCCACCCCACACACTCCCACTTCAGACTCCTGCCTTCAGGGAGAAGGTATCGGAGTCTTCAGGCCCACTCCACCAGACTTACAAGCAGCTTCATTCACCAGGGTGTGAGGATGCTGAACACTGTTCACTACGTCCCCCCCTCTGCTCCTGGACCGTGACCCACCAGGGAACATAAAAAGACTACTCCTGCTGTTGCACAAACTCAATACATTCCCTCTTTTTGTTACATTATATGTAAATCTGCTACTGACTGTTTCTTTTTTTTTGCAGGGATATCTGCTGCTGTTGGTCATTTGCAGTACTGTCCATGTATACCTCATATGCTATTTGCACCTCATCGCCAACGCCCTGGTGATGCTGAAGCATCTGACAATCTCCTATTATTGTTTGCACTACTGTCACTGACTGTACACAGTTTTGAGTCACAGCTTATTGTCTGTACCATTTAGATTTATCCTAATTATGTCAATTATTTCTTATTCTAGTCTATCTTTTATTCTACTTTACTCTATTTCAGTTCCTAAATGTTATGGCACCCAATACTAGGTGAGAGAGAAACAGTACTTCGATTTCTGTATGTCCTGCACATATGGTGAATTGACAATAAAATCCTTGAACCTTATTTGTCACCTCATTAAGGATTGTTTTCCACCACAGCATTGCACTTTATTGAAGTGTTCCTCACCGTACGGTATGCCAAGGCGAACCTGCTCTTTGCGGTAGCCTTCAAGTGCAGCTGCCCAGCGTGTAACCTGCTCTGATGTCTCATCAGAGAGGGCAGAACGCTCCACTGCGATGAATTGACCCTCCTCCACCAGTGTGCCCTCCTCCCCGGCTGCATCTGGATCAATCACCACTTCCACTGTTTCTACCGGCTTCACAATCTCCAGAATGTTCAACTTCTCATCACCTGGATAATGGGGAAGATACACACGATGAGGCTTCTGGACATACAGACATAAACAGCAATATATTACTTTGTATTTTCTGATCTTTGAAGCACTCAATATGGATTACGTTATAGTTTCTGTTTAGGTCAGTACCTGGTTTAGTTATAATTTGCAGGCTGAGCTGCACTGTGCCATCTGTCTTTACTCCCTGATCAAACAGGCTGTGATCAGGGTGAAGCTAAAAACAAGAACACAACAGAAATCAGAAGTGAAAAGACAGACAACTCAACATACTTCGCACTTCAGGGGATGACTACCAGACCCACGTTGCATACATGAATTCTGTTGCTTTTGCAAAAAAAAAAAAAAATAAATAAAGTTATCATCTTGATATGCTCTGTTTATGTGTGTGCATTGTTACCTGAATGTCCTGCAGGCAGATCTCATATGCATCTAGTGATATTTGTATACGAGGCTCCAAAAGCTTCTTCAGATTGCCAACAGGCTCGTTGATGTCGATGTCTTGTTGAATCAAATCAGACGCAGTGATCGTCTGCTCCTCGACACTAAAGGTAAAAGAAGAAATAGCAAACAATCGTAAACATGGAGCTGCTGCATGTGTAAGAAAACGCCATTCAAATGAGCATCTTGCTCACCCTTCCTCCAGGCACGCCTGTTTCTCCCGTTCATCGATCTCAATCTCTATCATCTCTTCTGGTTCACTCTTCGCCATTCTGTTCTATGCAGAGAGAACCAAGCTGCAGGAAAGTAATAAAATAGATGCATATTAAACACAAATATCAGGAATGAAAACATAAACACAATTACACTGTTAATGTTATGCTTGAATATTTTTGTTAAACACTTGACAACATAAAAGAAAAATGCCATTAAAACTGGCTTTGAAAAACCATTTTTTTAAAAAGGCAGGAAATCTTCATATCTGAGAAGCTAGAACCAGAGAACATTTGGTATTTTTCTTAACTTATACTATTCATTGATTGAACCAAAACTGATGCCCGTCAAATATCTGGTCGTTAAGTAATTAGGAATAATTATACATCTAAATTCTTAGCTCTAAATCAAACTGCTATTTTAAGGTGACATGTCATTGTACAAGTGCTAATGCCACTGTGTCCACCCCAAAGAGCCCTTTCACATACATCCCCCCAAATTTCTGCTCAACATACTACATACAGTAGATAGTCACTGGTATTCATGAAGTTATGATAACCTTCATATATACATTTATATATTACCTTCATTCACAATGTTTACAGCTCAAACAGCCAGTCAATTATTTGACCCACATAAAATTATCTGCAACTATTTAGTTAACTGATTAATCACTTCAGTCTCTGCTATTTGTCTAAAAAATTTTATTTTTACTTTTAAACTAGTAATTGGAAAATGTGTCCTTTCTTTCTATTGTTTATTTTTTCTGAATAAAATATGTTGTGATGCTTATTAGAAGGGCTAGACTTGTGCAAACTACATGTCCCACATCTGTTGCCTCACAGCTATAGCATTAATAATAAAAATAATGAAACTACTATAACATTTATTATGTTTATTAGCCAAAACGTCACAGAAATAAACTAACACCAAATCACAGTAAAACAGACTTAAAAAGCCTTTTATTAACATAAACATACCGTAAACTATATCATCAAGCCTAAAAACCTAAATAAATAACAGGAACTGTAAAGGATATTAAAAAGTTAATGCTAAATCCTATTCCACAAAAATAAATGTTTATATTTAAAACTTACAGCTCTCAGGTTAATTACATGAAACAAATATATTAAGGTTTGCCTAGGCTATTATACACCTTGATTTAAATTCAACACAGACTTCACACCAACTTTTAGTGATGATGGTGAGAATGTGTCTATTGTTAAGCATGAACTTGAAGCACTTGCTTTCACTTCATATTCTATTACTGGAGCTCCAATCAGCAAACACTGAGAGTCGTTAAAAAGTTACAATAATTAATGTCAAAATGTGCAGCTTTAATATAGAGAAAATACAGCATTTAAATGCGTAACAGTGGATAAAGTGACCATGATATGAATGTCAAACTGTTTTCTGTTCTAACGGCCTTTAAGCCTCGACTCCTCTGGCCGTGTGGGACAGTTCACTGACTACTCCAAGTGCTAACGTTAGCCAACTCGAGGGCGAGGCTTTGGCGTCTAAAGGCCAACTGGTAGGCCATTAGTTACCAAAAATAATCACCAAATATAACTAGACATCATATACACATGTTGGTAAAACACATAAAACCAAAATGTATACAACGGACTACACGTGTCTCTACACGGAAGATGGCCCACAGTGAACCAAGTTAGCTGCGATTTCGCTAGAGAATGCACCGCGGGGGGAGGCAGCCCATTACACAACCGTCGGTTCCAGCGTGCGGAACCACGGTTAAAATATCCTAAAAACGCGCTGCTCCTCCTAACTTAAACAAATCTTTATTAAAACACACTTTTATTCTGCACGTAGAAAACTTTTAAAACGGAAATAGAATAAACGGAAACAAAACAGCATAGGGCAAATGGAAAGGAGCCGGAAATCCTGGCTAAGGTTTACAGCGCTGCAAGACTTCCGAGAGCAGCGGTGATAAATACGACACGAGTTATAGAGGAAAACTAAACCGCAGAGCAACTCCGATATTAATAACACACCGAAACAAAGTTCGGCAAAATATAAGATGCAACCAAGCTGAGACGTAAGGACTAAAATCCAGACTTTACCGTCTTTGGGCGTATACGTAGTGTGTGTTTGTGGCTGTACGGTAATCAGCGCGCGGCAGTAGCAGCTAGCTTCTCCACCTGCGTCGGCTCTGCTTTACTGTTTGCAACTCAGCAACAACCCAGCAAGTTTGCAACTTGTGTCCGAAACTACTAACGTTAATCACAAGGAGTACCCGTGGTAGCCAGCGTTATTGCTGGACGTTGGCAAACTGTCTGCGTTTCTGGCTTGAAGGTAGGCGGCCTCTTCCAGTAAGCTAATAGGGAATCAACAACAGCTAGCTAGCTAACTAGAAGCTACAAAATTGCGGGAATAGTCTAAGCACGACGAACAGACCCCTTACTGTTACCGTAATTTAGCACACTTTCTGTAGAATAAGCACGTTTATTCATACCTCTTAAATTCAGGTCTTGAAAGCGGATGGATTATGTTCAACTGTAGAAAAAGACCCAAAATTCACACAGTCGAGTCGTGTCATGCAAGTTTTTGGTGAACTACACACACATATACACACTCAAATGAGGGGCGGAGACTAACTGGTAGGAATGTAGTTACACTAAAACTTTGTTATATAAAAAATGCAATAGCTTTAGATTCATGTAACAGTTGTCTTTATAATAGGGAAATCTTGACAATGGTCGTCATATTTTTTTCAGGGCAAACGAGTGTCCACCACGTTTCCCATCAGTGTTAAATGTCACAGTCATCCTTTATGTTGATTAACCACACTCCAGTTCTTAAAACGGTTCACATAAATTCCCCAAGTAACAACATGCTGTTCGGTTCTTCATGAACTTAAGGGAATTTTATTTTGAAGTTTCTTGTTTGCTACAAGCTGTTTTAAGTCAAAAGAAGGTTAATGAAAGAACAAAGGTCAAATGTGAGGATGATCTGTATTTATGAGCCAGTAGTTTGAAATAAACAATTTTAGATAGTTACAACAGGGTGGAATTAGATTTACCTTATCTTATCTCATATTTAACAGCTTGATTTGCAGCCCATAGAATTTCGTCTCTAAATGTGTTGAGTAAAGGCTATATATTGGCTTTATAACCATTACCTGTGGTTGTTTACTTAGTTCTTGCAGACTAGGCAGACTGTTAAAGAAGTATTCAGTAACAATTTCTTATCAGTAAAATAAACCTGCTTGTCAATCACAAGATTCATGTCTCAGCTTACTGAATAATTTGTAGGTTTCTGCAGTTGCATTTCTGATAAACAGCTAGTAGATATTATCTGCAGGTCAAGCAATATTTTTATATGAGATTATTTTTGCTTTGCAAATGATTTTCTGTCCTTTGTCTTTAAACATGAATTATTGAGAGAGATTTCTCAAATTTTGTGCACAAAAGTGTCTAGTTCACTAAAGGTCCTGCATTGAAAATGTTAAGCTACAAATGTAAAACTATAAACGTATTTGTATCAAAATATACTTAAAGTACCAAGAGTAAAAGTACTCATTATGCAGAATAGCACATTTCACATTAATGTGGACTATATCATATAATTATTGATACATTAAGGTAGACATCATTTTAATGTTGCAGCTGGTAAAGGTGGAGCTTATTTTAATTACATTATGTTTATAATAATTTAAAGTTATATGATTATACTCTATTTTGTATAGTTATTCTGACTATGAAAAGTAACCAGTAACTAATGTCATCAGATAAATGCAGTGGCGTAAAAAGTACATTATTCATTCATTCATTCATCTTCTACCGCTTAATCCCTGAACGGGGTCACGGGGGGGTGCGGAGCCAATCCCGGCCGGCAATCGGGCGAAGGCAGGGTACACCCTGGACAGGTCGCCAATCCATCGCAGAAAAAGTACATTATTTGCCTCTAAAATGTAGTGAAGTCAAAGTTTGAAGTAGCAGAAAATGAAAATACTCAAGTAAAGTACAGATACCACAAAAAAGTACCGTGCTTGAGTAAAGTTATTGAGTTACTTTCAATCACTGATTAATTGATATACTTTAGCAGTACATAATGATTGTGTACTTTGAATGCAGCTCTTGTTTCGAAAGTCACACTTGACACGGAAGTGACTGATCAAATGTTTCCGGTTTGGATGTCTCACCTTCAAAATAAAGACAATTATTAAGTGTCCAAAGTAATGTTAAAGCGCACATAAAAACCCGCCAACCAAAAGCTTTTCTCTTGAAATCTAATTTTAATGACAAACTAGTTTTCATACATACAGTAGATGAATCGTATAGTGGACACTTCACTACTGTACAGTAAGCTAACCTATTCTATTTTTTTCTATTTCTATATCTATTTAAATGATTGTATGAAGACAGTAGGTTATAGGCCAGTAGGAATATTCTGACATATACAGTATTTAACCAGTAGTGGAAACTAACTGAAAAGAAATGGTGTGATAGTAATATACTATCTCTGAATTTGGATAAAACTAAATTTATGGTATTTGGGAATCGTAGACTAGATAATGAACCTCAATTGAAAATTGGGGGAGCTAATATAGAACGAGTATATGAAATTAAATTTCTAGGTGTCATAGTTGATGACAAATTTTCCTGGAAATCTCATATCAGATATGTTCAAAATAAAATAGCAAAGAATATATCAATAGTGGCAAGGGTTAGATATATTTTGGACAGGAAAGCACTACGTATTTTGTATTCTTCATTGATTTTACCATACTTAGAGTGTGGCGTTGAAAACTGGGGAAACATACAAAAGCTCACTTCAACCATTGTATATATTACAAAAAAGAGCGATAAGAATTGTGCATAAGATGGGGTATAGGGATCACACCAATGGAGCTTTCATACAGTCTAAATTGTTAAAATGTTTTGATTTAGTGGGATATAAGACTGCTGTGTTTATGTATAAAGCCAGGAACAATTTATTACCTGGTGGAATTCAAAAACTATTTAATGAAAGGGAAGGGGGATACAATTTAAGGGGTCAGTTAAATTATAAAATTCATGCTATACGTACAACCAAAAAAAGATTTTGTATTTCCATAAGTGGGGTAAAACTATGGAATAATTTAAGTGTAGACATAAAAAATAGTAATAGAATTGACGAGTTTAAACATAAATATAAAGGTATGTGTCAATCAAGATATATGCAAGAACAGGCTTAATGATTAATTAGATAGAACATTGTGGGTGTGGTGTATGAATGTTAACACTCTGTAATAATTCTACTTGTGTGGTGTAGAAGATAATTATCAAAGTATGTAATTATGTAAGTTCAAGCATGTACTAGGTATAAGCAAATTGATATTGGATTATGTGTACAATTATGTGTGTTGATATATCAACTGTCTTTACATGCTTGAAAGAATAAATAAATCAAATCAAATCAACTGAGAACATTTACTGAAACACTGTTCGTAAGTAGCTACAATTTTGAGATATTTCGATTTTTTTGCTACTACATACTTAAACTCTACTACAATTTGATAACTTAAGACACTTTGTAGATTTAGAATAATATAAAATAGAATCAACAATTTATCTCCAGAGGGAAGTTCACAGGATACTCAGCAATATGCCAGTTACAATAAGCCCCACCTACCAGCTGCAACATTTAAGTGATGTAGCTACACATTAATGCATCAGTTATTTGTAATCCAACTATATAAGTACTTTATTATGACAGACGTAATTCTGCATGATTAGTTTCACTTTTGGTACTTTCAGTGTATTCTGCATGATTAGTTTCACTTTTGGTACTTTCAGTGTATTTTCTTTTGTACATCTGTGCTTTTATTTAAGTAAAGTTTAAAATGTAACACTTTGACTTGTAATGGAGTATTTTTAATCAGTGCTTCCTCCCTGTACAGTGGATGTGTAACCACTGCAAAGGTTTGACTAACTTTGATAGGATGTAATTTTAATGCAGTTTGAATGGTAGTATGAGGCAAAGGGGTATTTTGGCACACACGCACACACCACCACATAGATCACAAACCAGTTCAGCACCATTAACCATATAGGCTATTAAAAACTAGCAGAGTTGAATCACAGAGTCAACAGGTAATATGCATTGTATATTTATGGCAGGCGTGGTTGTTTGATTACTCAATACTTCACAACGGTGCCTAATAATCTGTTAAATCTTAGAATAATGTGTCAATTTTATCAGAAAAAAAATTCTGATTTGTGTCCACTGCATCTTATGTGGGAATTATGCTTTTATTCTGAAGGAGCAGGGACGGAAGTGTTTTCGTTGTTGCTGGTTGTTGGATGAACATAGACGAGGCAAGATGGCAGAGTACCTGGCGTCCATTTTTGGAACAGAGAAAGATAAGTAAGTAGTTGTTTTATTTTACGCAATTTTTCCTTCGTGTTTTAGTGATGCAAGAAACGAGGCTTTCCGAAGTTTTGAATCAATTGAACCCATTGCTTCGGAAATTGATTTCGTTGTTTTGAGACATTTGAATCATCCTCCGCTCGCGCCATCTGTTGACCAAATATGCGTACATACAATAGAAAGACTGGAGACACGGTTCTTGAACGGTTTTGAAGACGCATGTCTTGAGCCATTTCACAATATCATTGTGTGTACCTAAACGGTGTGATAATCATACATCTTCTATGCTCTTTTTTATTTTATACTTATAGAGGTGTTTTAAATGAGAAGGCGTTTATAGGCTGCCTTCATTTGGGTATAGCCCAAATGTAACATTTCAGTTGGAAAAACTATTTATGGAGGATGGGCCTCCCAAATGTGGAGTGTTTGTGTGACTACAGCCGATGAAGACATGAGTGTTTTCACTGGAGTTTATATTAAGAAAAACTCAAGCGTTTTATTGGGTACTTTAACAGTTTTGCTCAAAGCCTCTCCTGCTTTAGAGACCCCATTTTGAATAAATTAAGTTACTGTAGGCCTTGTGGCAATAAGGCAGATGGAAGAAAGCATTTTAATAACAAAATATGCTGAATTAATATGCCTAAATAAATGAAACACTAATCAACAAAGTACATGTGATTTTTTTCAGGTTGTCCTGTAGTAACCTATGTGATTTATTAAAATTTTCAGGATGCTGAGAATGGAGGTGTCTTAGTAGGGCTGATGTATTGTTGCCCAACAGCAAATGCTTTTGTATTTATATTTAATCTTAACAAACAACATAAAATAAATTTTAAACAATGTCGGTTACAAGTGGCATGTTTGACAAAATCTTTCCAAATATTCATCCAATTTAACAAAAACCCACAAAATTTGTCAGTTTTCATTCTTTTAATGAGGCATTGGATGAGATCTATAGGATCAAACTTGTATGATTATCAGGTAGTGCAAGTGGCAACCATCTCAACTGACTCCAAATCAGTATAGCTGTTTTCAATACTTATCTTTTAGAAATTGAACTATATTTTCCAACATGTTTTTTTGTCCTAACAAAAGAAGCCTACATTTTGAAAGCAGCTATACAGCAAATAAAATTATCTAAAACTAGGACTTGAATTTTTTTTAATCAAGAACAATCTCCTTTAAGAATAAGTAAACAAGACTTTAAATCTGACAAGACATCAAGACCTTGTCTAATGAACATTAAAAA